ATTAACGAAATTTTCAATTCCAAAATCACAATTTCATTGGTAAGTTAATATTTATACTAACATTTTATATGTATTTAAATATTCTTTTAAAAATGTTCAGTATTTTTGTTTGATTTAAAGAATTTTATTATTGAATTTTGAAGAAAAAAATTATTTATTTATTAGTTTGATTTTACAATTTTTCATAATTTGTTTACTGTGGTTTTCTTTATTTCCCAAGGTTATAACAGTTGTACATTTGTAGGTAAATAGTTATATGACAAAACACAATTATTGTGTTCCCTAAAATATTCAAAGTAATTAAGGACTATTTATTAAAAAGTATTTAACGTTCGAAAAGATGTTCGAGATAGTATTTTTAGTTTTATTATCTGTTTTCTTTAGTATAATTTAAGCAAAAATTGTTAAAATTTGTGATAAATAAAATCTATTCTTAAGAAGAGATTGCAAATAAGTAGCTAACAAATTGATTAGATTGTATTTAATAAAACATATTAACAAAATAAAACCCTAGTAAAAAATAAATACACATAAAATACGTTTACAAAAGTAACAAGTTTTTTGTATTATTTGAACGAACACCTTGTTTTTTTATTTATAAATGTTTATTTTTAGGATTAAAATTTAAAGTTTCTTAAGTATTTTGTTTAATCAATATAAATTAAATTAAATTATCATAGGAACAAATTAAAATTGATTTCCATTTGATTATTTTACAAAAAAATAATTTAACAATAGTAAAGTACCTAATATAGACAATAATCAGATTTTTTAAGAATTTATACCGTATTTTACTATAAATAGTTAGATATAATATTACATTTAACATAAATAACTAGACCTCTATGTAAAAGTTTACTAACAATGGATTAAAGTTTTGGTAGAAGACGCATTTGTTAAAGGAGCAAGAGAGTTTAATGCATTTATAGAAAAATAGATTACGAAAATTGTTAAAGACAAAAAATGTCAAATAACAACCTATATTGGTTCATAGTAATAATGTCATAATGAAAGCTGAAACCTGTTTTGGAGATGCTCGTACATGAAAAAATTAATGTGGTTTTATAAGTTTCTAGAATTTTTAATAATAATCGTTCATTGTCTAAATATGGGGCACAATAACAACATTTTCACTGCTTGAATATACTAATAAAGTATCAGTATAACTTATTATAGTAAAAGTTATTATCATTTATCCATGAATAGTTTTTGATTAATTTTTGTAATGCTGCAATATTAATTACTTGTAATTTATAAAATTATTTTTTTGAAAGCCAATGAACGCTCCTGCAAAAACTTAAACGTTACACAGATAACTCACAAGTTTCTAACAATAAGATTAATTAAGTTATTAGTTAAAAAAAACTTCTAATGTATAAACATTATGAACATCAATACCTAAGTTCGCAAAACTCTTTTACGTGGAATTTTTTATAATTATTAATTGTTTATAACTCTGTATTTTGACGCGTGAGTTCTGATTTTATGGCGTTCTCAGAAGTTTTCATAATATTATATATATAAACTTAAACAGCACAACAATGAAAGAATAGAATACATAGGAAATACTAATGATTTTATTCTGACGCATATTATTTATTATATACCATTTGTTCTCGTCTAATCAAATTTCCATCTGATTGTTATGAATTTGTATTAAATAACTCAGTAACTAGTTTGATATTCAACTTAAATTATAATTTTCATTTCAATTTTCTTTTAAATTTCGTGAAAAAATGACTTTTTTGTTTACTATTAATGTTATATAAAAAAAAGTAGCTACTGTCATTTTTCTTTGCTTATTTTATACAGTACTAATGTAGTTTCTAATACTTCTATTTTAAAAAATAGTTTTAGGAACTCGTTATATTTAATAAGATTTCACTCCAACCACGTGCTCACATTTATAAAATTTTCTTTTTGTCAAAACCTATTTTTACTTTCTTTGTTCATTGTTTTAGATTTTAAATGTTCAATATAGTTTTAAAATAATATTTGGACTAAAATAAATTTAGTATAAAACTAGGTACTTATAGTACAACAATACTTTATAAGTTATAATTTGTTGTTTAGGTTGATGAGTTTTAAAAATAATGAATAATATATAATTTATATAGATCCAAATGATTACAATGAAACGGATAATTACTAAAAGATAACTAAGCATGTAAAAAATTATTAATCATTGTAATCAGCTTTTATTAAACTTAGATAAAAAATATATGTTTTGAATTTTCTCTTGTGGTGGTAAAATTATTTTTTATTAAATTGTAGAAAAATTAACAGTATGCGTAGTTAAAATTAACCTATAATATTTATTCTTTGCTATGTTGTTATGTATGAACAAAATATACGTTTGCTTTCGCTGGTCTTCTTTTAACCTTGACGTTATGTTTTTCTTTTTTATCAATAGTATATAATGAGTTACGCTTGATTAGAAAGTAGATCAATGTAGATAATTTAAAAATACGTTGTTTCTCTAATAATTGGATTTGAAAGAATTTTTTGTCGAAGATAAATCAGTTAAATACAATATTTGACATAAATTTGTAACATTATTTTCATTTGTACTTCTAGTGATATTTAAAACTCATCTCTATGGTATTATTTCGTATTTCATAACATTATGTGCTTCATGAATCATAACTTCTTTATTTCAATCGTTCCATAACGGTAGATATGTAAGTATGAGCAACTATGTAATTAAGTTACACAATTATTTTCATTATTACATCAAAGTTTAGTTGCCAAAATATAATATTGTTTGAATACAATCCAGATGCTATGCATAATAAGTTCAGTTATTGTTAATCAGAAATGAAGTTATATTTTTATTATTTATAGAGCTAACTACTAACTAGTATCTTCCACAAAAACAACAAAATTCTTGTAATGTTTACTAAATTATATTTTTTGTCAAGTTAATTGACTAAAAATGATGTGTGAATATAAAATAGATTTTACATTTTATCTAATTCAGAAATGTAAACTTTGTCATTAGTATAAACATTTATATCTCATATTATAGATTGGTTTATACTTTCGTAATTTGCAATTTTTTGAAAAAATATATTTTTTTATCATAACGTAGACAATTATACCAAATAAATTAATCTTATGTGACAAATTATTATAGATTAAACTAGAATATTTTATATATTTTTTTATAATTTTGTAAAAGTAGATAATTATATACCTAATAAGTAATAAAAAAAAAAAATTTAAAAAGTAAATAGCTTATAAACGTTATTTAAAAAAAAATTTGACATTTTTATAAGTAATGTAGACCTACTTTTTTTATTCAATCTAGTATTAACAAATACGCCAAATAGTAATTTTATTAATAGTTTATTATTTAAGATGGCCTGATCGAAAGATAATTATTCCTTATATGATCTTACCTTAATTTAATTGGAAATACTAGTTGATTAAACTCTATTAGAATTTTTTAGCTTTGGGTAACAACAGATTTATCCAATATTTTCATATTATTATGTTAAATATAACATAAAACAGTAATTTATTTATTAATAATGTTAATCATAATGTAGCCACGATTTCATAATGAAAGGTCCATTGTAAAAATATCTACAAAATTCCATACTTTGAACATTTTTTTTTTTTGCTCTCTCTTAATGTTAGAGATAAATATTCTGTCTAATATAATAAATATTAGTGATGGGCATTTTCGAATATTTTAAACTATCAAATAATTATTCGGATTATTTTTATACAACCGAATAGTTTATTTTTAGCATAAACTATCGAATAGTTCGATAGTTACTATTCGATATTTCCCATTACTAATAAATATTGCTATCAATGGGAGTGCTCGGACCCCTCAACTCTCTCCTAGCTACGCTACTGATGTTAAATTATGTTTAAAGAAAAACTAAAATAACCTTCTGTATAGATCACAAAAGGTAAAAATTATGCACTTTTTCAATCATTGTAGTTTCCTATTTTGTTTTAGGGAAATTATTTCTCTAAAAAAAAAAAATAAACTTGTTTTTTAAACATAAAGTTGTGGGGTCATAGAAAAATGTTGAAACAGAATCTGTTATTATGTACTCAAAATTAATTTAACAATTTTATATACATTGAAAAATTGGACATTTTCAGTGAAATGCTCTTTATTCGTTAGCAAAAATACAATCATAACCTGCTATAGCATAGATCTCAAAAATCGGAATGTCTTAAACAATACTTAATTGCTAATTTAACTATGTCTGTAGGGTTAACAATTAAATTTTTATAGAGGTCAAAGAACATGATATCAATTTGAATTGTTTTCGATACTATACACTATCTGTGCTATATTTTAGATACGTGTAACAGTGGCTATTGATAATTTGCAAAAGTAACAACAAAAAACGTTAGTGCCCGCTACTGGTTTGATTACACACGTATTACCATTATTTTTATTGTTGTTTACTAGCATAACTCCCCTCTACTATTACTATCATGGTCGTCACCTCCATACACCCTCCACAGACTACCATCATACGCCTTTCTCAGTTATTGAATGATGTCATTTGATAACAATTTCCACTTCCAGGATTTTATGTACTTCCAGTCAGTGGTTAATCTGTGTTTAGATTATTTGCCTGGTGCTCTAGTAGATTCGCTAAGAATTATATTTGTTACCAATTCGTCAATTGCCATCGATACATTTTGTCTGTCGTTATATTATAAATATTTTTCTAAGAACTAGTGTGGTTTTATCTAGTCTAATACGACCTTAACTATAACTACAGCTGTTGAGTCATTTAAATATTGTATACTACCGGCAGTATTGATTTTCTTTTTATCTGAATAGGGTGTGGACCCTACTTTTTTAACGAACGTTGTACGATTTCCTTTTATTACCTGTGCCATTTCAAACCAAACCACAAATCAGTATTTATATTACAATTCCTTGCATTATGTGTGTTTGATAATATGAACTAAATCAAAACGTTCACCCAGTTTAATACAATTTATGTACTTTGTGCTTGTAGACAACAACGAAAAAAACCACCACAATGACTACTGTACCAGCCAAGCTTTATGGAAAGAATCTCAGTGAATATGAAGAGCTCGATGTTGAACAATTATTGTCGCAGTTATCACCAGAAGAGATCAATATTCTATCAAAAGAAGTAGATCCCGATGTGAGTATTCTAAAATATAGAAAAGCTTAAAATATTGTTTTATTTTACTATTACTATATTAAATTTAAAGTTCATGTTTTGAGAATCTTAGATATGTAAAATTATTAAAGTACTATGATAAATAAATTTTTTCATACAAGATCTTTTTACTAAGTTTCAAAATTTTCCAATTATATTTTAATTTTATTAATTCATCACCAGATAACTGTTAATGTTTAAAAAATCAAATATTTGTTTAATGTGAATATTTTGACTGTAGTATGTGTGACATATGTTATAGTGTAATAATATAGATCAAAAATTTGCAAACATCCATGTGTGTATTGATTAATTAAAATATTTCATAGTACATTTGATATTTTTAAATTATTTTAGGATAATTTATTGCCACCATCAGAACGTTGCAGCTATGAATGCAATAAAGAAGCTACAGGTCCATTGAATAGGAAAAAATTAATAGAGCATATTAACAAGCAAGCTCTTGAAACGCCTGATCTTCCTGAAATGAAACCGTATGTTCCAGGAACTGTTAGAGGAAAAAAAGTAAAATTTTATACAAGTTTTCAAATTTTGTATTTTAAAAAACATAAAATACAAATTAATTTTTAATTTTTCCAGTGGGTTCCACCAGAAACAACAAATGGCAATGTTGATAATAATGACAAAATTGCTATTGATCTTGATGACGAATATGGAGATGCTTTAAACAATGCTTCACAGGAAGAAATAATTGACTTGGCTGGTAAGTTTTGATGACAATCATTTTTTCTTACTATTATGGTATATAATTCATTTGAATTATAAATGAGAAGTGCTATAATATTTTTTTTTTCATTTTATATTTAAAATATGTAGAATTTGTTAAATATATTAAATATTATTAAAAAATTTTCTAAGAAATAATTTTTAAATGAAAAATTTGTATTATTATTATATTTATGTACTAGATACAATTATAAGATTTTTTTAAAATTAGTAACTAAATAAGGTATTAGAAATCAATATTTGTTATGAAATCAATATCAAGGTATTGATCAATATTTGATAAATAACTTATCCTAGAGATTAGTTAAATTATTGAAAAAACTTAAACCACAGCAATATTATATTAGAGAAAAAAAAATTATCATCTAATTATTTTGCTCATATAGTTTTAAACTGTTTTTTAGAAAAAAAAAATCAAAAACATTTTTTTTGTATGAAATTATTTTCTAATTATTTATTTTTTTGTAAAACATTTTTATTAATACTCTGTTTTAAAAGTGTTATTCATAGTGCAAAAAAGTAGTATAATAATATCAATATTTTTTTAGCTATTCTTGGATTTCATTCAATGATGAACCAAGATCAATATCATGCTTCATTATTAAATAAAGGTCAGCCTGTTGGATTAGGATGGGATGGTATAACTAAAGCAACACAACCAAAAGTTTATCCACCCGAACCTCCAAACCAAACCGATCCTGATGATAGCATCAAACGTGTACATGACGATGACCCTAAATTAATTGATCTCAATTGGAATAATATTAAAGTGAATAAAGATATTTGAGTTATTTAGTTTTAAATATATTTTATAAATTCTATGTCAATTAACCAAATCACTTTTTAAGTTTCTTTATTTTATTGATAATTAACTCAAAAAAATTTCATTTCATGATGTTATATAAACATTAGAATTTATAGTAAATATTTAAAAAATTTTGTAGAATATATCTGATGAAAAATTTGAGCAATTGTTCAGTGCCCTAGTAGAAAATACTCATTTGGAAACTTTAAGTCTAGTTAATGTTGGCCTAACTGATCGATTAGCTGGAAAATTGGCAGAAGCTTTAGAAAAGAATTGTACTCTACGTGTCTGCAAGTAAGTTATAAAAATCTGTTTTTCATTAGATAAATAATATATTAATTTGTTATAATTTTCTATAAAAAAATTTTTTAATCTATAGTGTAGAGACAAATTTTATAAGTCCTATAGGAATTGTTCGTTTAATTAAATGTTTATTAAAACAAAGATCCTTAGAAGAATTTCGGGGAACTAATCAAGTTAGTACATATTTATTGCATTCATTTTTAAATTAAGTTTAGAATAATTAAAAATTAATTATTGTTCAGAGGTCCCAAGTATTAGGAAATAAGATTGAAATGGAAATTACTAAACTGATTGAGCAAAATCCTACTATTCTTCGACTTGGCTTACACTTAGAATACAATGATGCTCGCCACCGAATTGCATCACATTTACAGCGCAATATTGATAGGAGTAAGTATTATTTTAAATTAAAAAAAAATTACAAAAAAACATTTTAAGATAGATAAAATAATAAAAGCTCAATAATAAATTCTATTTAAATAATTATTAATAGTCATATGTTATTATTTTATAAAAAAAATTCTCTTTTTTATGCACAATTGTTTGTTGTGTTCCAATAATAGTTCTGTATTAAGTTTCCATTATGTAAGTTGATTTACATTTAAATAATGATGTAGTTCTGATTTTCATCTAAATTTAATTAATTTAAATTGTTGTTGGGCTTTTGTACATTGTATAGAATAAGATTTACATAATATTGTATTATTTAGTATTTCTTCATTTTAAAGAAGTACTTTAAAATAATTTCCATTGTTAGTTAGTCTTAAATGAGCTATAGTTGTTTTATTTTAAGGTATGTTAAGATATGAGATATGCTAAATTATTATTATCTATTTAGTTCACTACAGTATTAAGGTATGACATCCACTTTTTTATGATTCCTTTATTTTTTACTTATTTTATTTAATATATTTTGTGTTTTATAATAAAACTAGTTCCTTAAATATTTTAATTTGAAACATTTTTAAACAACCCATTGCATTCCTTTATTGTTTGTTTGTAACTTACTTATTGTTATTAATGGTAATCAGACTGTCGTCTTGGTGTTCAAGCTAAATTCAAATTAGCTGAAAAAAGACATGATGATGAAACAAGTTTTGAAATTTTGTCGTCTCAGTAATATTTTTCGTATGTCTCTATTTTTATTATGATTTTTCATTAATTTTGCACATAATTTTAATAATGAAAAAAAAACAATTCAGCAGACCTAATTCTGAATCTTATTTGTAGTTATAATATTGTAAGAGTGTAGTAGAGTAAAATGTTATTTAGAAACACATATTATTAAAAACAAATCCTAGATGTTTAAATAGGTACTAAAACACATTTATATAATTTATCTGACATTACTTTTTATATTATTTCATCAATATATTCATTTCATCATAGTTCTAAACTTTATTTAAAATTGACTCTATGATAGTTTTGAATTGATTGATTAAAAACTTTATTCGGGTGTACAGCTTATAAATTATACCAACCTTTTATTGCATTCTAATGTTTTTTTTCTTGTATCAATAATATTATTAATAAAATAATTACAAAAATCTATAATATTAACATATTTATATTTTTTTTTCTGTATTTTTAAATTCAGTAAGAAAAGACACACCATTGAAAAAGAAGTTTAGGTTCTTTAGAAAAACACCTCAAAAACACAGCAAGAAATTGATCAAATAATTGATCAGCTATTTGCATTGAGGTTTAGAAATTATCTTAGTTTTTTGTTTTTCTATTAAAAAAATAATAATCATAAAAATAAAGGAGCATGAAAATTAGCTCATAATAATTAGATCTGTAACATTTAAAATATTTGTAGACATTTGCATTTACTGAAATCGTGTTTCACACGCATAAATAACTGAAAATTAACAAACAATTATTTTTTGTGACTAATACACTATTTAAAAAATATATTAATAAATGATTTTTATTAACTTATAAATTAAAACTCTAAGTTTAAAATCCTTTTATTTTATAAAAAAATAATTATAATTAAAAACTTTATAGTTTAATATAAAAAATATTAATTTATATCTTTTCTGTTTTATCTTTAATTTTCTTTCCATTTAATTTTTTTAATAATTTATTAAATAGGGTAATAACACTAGTAGCTGACACCAAGTAGTAGGGATTAAGGCAAGGAAAAAGAATAGTGTCACAACACTAGTAAATAACATTTTAACATTTAAAATTAAATCAACTAAATGTTGAAAATTAGAAATTTACTTTGAATAATGGTTAATATTATTTTGGATCTGATAGACTAAATATACAGTTTTTTTTTATTTATTTAAATATTAGCAGCTATAGCATGTTTCAAAACATTACTCAATTTGTTTAGCTAATAACTTAGTGAATAACAATAATGTTGTTATATGCTGGATCATTATTATGACTGATGATATTACTCTATTAAAATTGAAATTAAAATAAAATATTAATATTCTTATAGTTAAAAAAAAAAAAATTATCATTAAGGAACTTAAATTTTTTTGTTTGTTAGCCATGATATTGTTATTACTTTTAAGTTATTAACTTATTAATATTTATATCAAGTGTTTCATATTATGCATGAAATTTAATTTATAATAATTGTGTGTTTTAAAAAAATTATAGTATGATACATATTAACCATTTTCTTTGTTGTGTGAACTTAATAATATTATTGAAAAATTATATTGTTATCATTTTCCACTATAATGTATGGTTTTTGATAACCCAAATGTATGTTTGTGTAAACCTTTTCTGAATTTGGATTTTGGTGTTTTTCTCTTTTGCAGTACGCCAGAGCCGTGTGGGCGCAAATTCCATATAATTTCATATTTTGGCTACGTACAATATTTAGGTATATTTACATTAAAAATATGTAAGAATTTATTTCTTTTTATATTTATTTTACTTAAAATTAATTTTATGCTTAATATTTAAACTGCTTTTATGTAGTATGTATATTTCTTTTAAATTCTGCTAGCTGTATTAATATATTAAGGTTACTGCAGATGTGAGCAAAAATATGATGTCTTTCCAATTAAAGTACTCTAGATGGATGATATTAATCATTATTTTTAATTTTTAACTGCTTAAATTATTTTTTTCATTGGTGCATGCTAATTAAAACTTAACTTGAATGATTTTTTCATAAACATTTTATTTTATTGAATGTTTAATACAACGAGACACGATTTCATATTAATTTATTTTAAAATACACTTATAGTTAAAGTGTTCATTTTTCATTTGAAAATTTATTCTACCTATTTACATGACTGATTAATTATTAATATATATTATTTTTTAGTATTAATATATATATATCATAGCTTATGTACATAAATAAATAAATTAAACAATCTCTATTTAATAGTATTTATAAATGTCTCTAAAGTATTTTACTAATCAAGTAAATTCTCACAATAATTATAAATTGAAGAAAATTAAAATTTTTTATTTGTTAATAGACAGAGGATAAACATTAAAATTAAAAAATAATCCTAACATTTCTAAATTTTTATAGTGTTATAGTTATATTATAACACAAATATGCATCATTAATATTTTGTATAATATTATTGTGGTTTAAAAATTTTTTTATACTATTGTCTCGTATCATTCAATAATGACAATAACATATAGGTAAGTTTTTAATGCTTTTAGAAATAAATTATTTTATAAATTTTTTAAATTGAATTGCTTTTTTAGAATTATTTGTATATTTGCTAATGCTCAATGTAAGTGCCATTTAAATGTATGTTATATAAAAAATTTAATTAAGAATTTAACCAAGATTTTACAATAAAAAATATTCATATTAATTGTTAAATGTGTTTGTTATTGTTTGTAGGCCGCTTACGCAGAACTGGTCACTTTGCGCGAACATACACTGGCGGTTGGGTTGTACACAAAAAGGCTGTATAAATACTTGAATTTTGCTTAGACTTTGGTCCTAGACTATATATTTTAAGTTATTATAGTTTTAAAATACAATATCTCTCTGATTTATTGTTCTTTCATTTGTACATGTATATATATTTATAAATATTTACGTTATGATTTTTTCTGACTTAAACTCATTTAAGAAATTTATTATTATAGTGTGTTTGGCGTGACAATTCTAATTAATTATATTCATTCATAAATATAATTATATTTGTAATAATATAATTGAAAATAATTTATTATATAAAAAATTATATCTTGTTAAATTGCATAAATTTTTTTGTGCTAATTGTTTCATTGTTTTATAAAATGATATATTTTTTACTATTGAGTTATTTATACCAAATAGAATAGCAAGTGAATACTAATATAAGTATATTAAATATGTTGATATATATTTTTTTTTAATATTAAATTAATTCATAAAATATACTTTGATATTTACATTAGAATTAATTTATCAGTTTCATTTGATCATTAACAGTTTACTTATATGTATATATAAATTTATCAAAACACCATTGTATCTTTTTTAAATTGTAACTATATTTTCATGTTACTACTATATTTTCAGTATGATCATTTCTAGTACATCTAGAAAAATTTTTGACATATGTATCAATTTTTTTTTTAATTAAATTAATAAAACTTGCTATATAGTACACATTAAATTAAATGATATTTTCAATTAAAATCTTTTAATTCCTCAGTTATAAATATTTTTATAATAATTTATTTATTGACAAAATAAGTAACAAAATTATTATAATGTTTATTTAGAAGATGTGTTCTAGTAATTTTATGTCCTGGGTGTGTTTAACACGGTCAAACTGGTGTAGTCCGCGCCTGTACTTCATCCTAGACAGAAAAGTCTTTGGACCCAAAATTTTAATTTTAATAAGTCAAACAATAATTTATCTTTCTAAATAAGTACATAAAAAAGTTTTTATTTAATATAAAACCAACGAGTAATAGTGGTTGCGAGGTCCAAAACCCTCATTGGCATAAAATAATGGTAGATAAAGAAAGTAAATGGATGAATCTCCTGTTAAATTTCAGAACGTTGAGTTCTGAAAGTTGTACAGATCCCTTGTATAGTAAATTTCTAATCAAGTTAATGAAGAGAAGCACTTATTTGGTAACCGTAAGAACATGTCCGGCCTTGGTCCTATCTGAAAGCTATTGCTTGTAACTGAGAGAACGGGAAACTAACATAGGACCAGCGTAACGAAAATGAACTTTGGTACCCACGCACCTAGTTAAGATGCGTTATCAACTGCTTGGTAATAGCTTAAAACATATGAATTCATTGTCAACATATCAGTTGACACTTCTATAAACATTTTGCAAATTGTTCATGTAATTATCATTTATATATGTATTTTTCATTCTATTATTAGTGTAATGTTTAATTTCCTTATATTTTTGGTAAATATTCATTTTATTCTACAATTATATTTATGGTGTAAGTATTACAATATTATAATGTTAATTATAATTTTATTGAATTTTTATGTCAACTGGATTTATGCCAGTTAAATACATTAATATCTATTCAATTTCATATTCTTTCAAGATATTTCTTTGGTAGACTATTTCTGATGTATATATAAAACAGGGTTTTTAACCATAATAATCCACCTACGCTTATGAGTTTTGTTGAATATTTAACAAGAATAATTCAATTTTACAATAATGTATGCACAAATTAATACTAGTACATAAATTATCCCAATAAATTAAAAAAATCAAAATTTATATAGATTTTACATTAGTTTCGGATTACTTTTATAAAATACATATATAAACAAAAATTATGTCATAAAATAATATAAATTAAATTCTATATACTATATACTTATATTCTATATACTTAATTACTTTAAAAACTAAAAAATACTGATTATTAGCTTCAATGCGATTAATTTTACTATGATGTGTTTTTTTTTATTGTGTCTTTTAGTTTTATATTTTTTCAATTAATCATGAAATATTTTTTATATTCACCCATTATTGCCTTATATGTGTATCAACTAGAAAAATTTATTTTCTTAATTAGATAATGATCTAATTAAAAAAATGATTGGTCAATAAAAGTTGAAGTTGTTATCGACCAATTCAATAAAGGGTAAACCCTTATCTTGATTCTAAGTTGAATTACAAAATAGTCTATGAATTATCGTAGGTCATCCATTTTAATGTCACCTTGAAAGCAAATGTTTAAAGTATTTGAAAAAACCATTTCTAATTTTAATTTTTCGTTCTACATTCATTGATAAAGTAGACATTATTAATTAAATTAAATTGAATTCTAGTGAATGCAATCATACGTAAGTACCTATTCCGATGTTTAATAACATTCATGTTCAATGAACATTGTTCATATAGCAATAATATTTTTTTATGAAAATCTGTAACTTAAATTTTACTTCATATTTTGATAGAGTTATCTCGACCAAAATATTTGATAATTCTCATTTTAATTCTCTTTATTATTATTTTATTGAAATGATAAACAAATACAATCTGTGTATTATACAATAAGTATTCATGGTGAAATACTTAAATTAAAATAAAAAAAAAACCAGCACAGGGGGGTCGCGGGACAGTGATTCCATGGTATAGTTGGATCAAGTATAATGATATCTGACAGTGATTAAAATCACTATCAAAAATAAACGCTTCGATGCAAATCTTTAGATAGTGTTTAATTTTAAAAAAATTGATGTATTATTCCAAAAGCTACATGATCTGCTAGTTCCCTATTAATATCTTGATTAAGATAAAGTATGTCGAATGAAAAAGGGATTATTAAAAATTATTATTTCACATAAAAAGATTATGTTGATCCATACACTTTTCAATAAGTTATAGCATTATAAAGTTAAAAATATAAAAAATAAAATCGAGAATTTTCACACGAAAATAGCATTCAGTAGCCATTTTCGCTGTGAAGACAAATCTAGAGGTCAAATTTTTTTTTTCAAATTAAATTTATATAACATTACCTTTAATTTAAGATATATATAAAAGTGTCAGACCTTCCGGAACATTTTCAAAAGTTAAGTTAAAAAAGTTAATTTTTTGTGAAAAAGTTGTCTTTTTAAATCCTCCCCTGTGGGCAGATAAAGGGTTAAATTTATAAAAAAAATATACTAAATGATAGGTAAAGACATCAAGCATCTATAAAAAAAATATATATTGATTCGGTTATTTTTAAAAATGTTATGGCAATTTTAAGTAAAAAAAATTGAAAAAATTTCGAAAATAGCGATTTTTAAATTTGTAATTTTTTTGGAGGTTTCCTCAATTTACGGGGAACGGGGGAATTTTTTTCAATTTTTAAGGGTAATGTCTTCGACTAGATACGATTTGTGATCTTTTGACGTATCGTTGAAAGAAATCCGTTCGGTGAGAGCTGAGAAAAAGTGGTAACAGACACAAAAAAAAAAACACATCATAGAAAAACCAATACCTTCTCAGCTTCGCATCGAAGCTAAAAATGAATTTATTGCCATAACTTTTAGCTCAACTTGCAAGTTTGAAATTGACATCATTAAATAGTAAAAAGTAGTATTATTAAGTTTTATGATTTATTATTGTAATATATAAATATATATATATATATATTTATATACATACATATAAATATGAATAGTACTTATCTTAAAAATATATAATGATTCATAAATTTTTCAAAAAGTTATAGGTTTATAAAGTTAAATTATAAAAATGAATTTTATTACAAAAATCGCATTTTTTTATTAACTTTGATGTCTGGTTCACTGAGAAGACAAAATAAAGTCCGAATTTTTTTTTTGCATAATAAAGTAAATTACATTAGCTTTAATTTAAGATATATATAAAAGTGTCAGTATTTCCGGAACACTTTCAAAATGTAATTTTTTGTGAAATAGTGGTCATTTTTAATCCCCCCTGTTGGCTGGTAATGGGTTCTCTGTATATACTTGAGTATGGTTACCCCATACATATTAATAACAACTCTTTTTATATCTTAAATTTTTTTAATTTTTAATAAAAGTAAAATCGATTAAACCATTTTAATCTATTTTTTTATTACTTTATTTCAAATAGTCTACAATGTCAAGAGTAGTATTTTAAAACGAAATTTTAGGACAAGCATTTTTATTAGAAATTATAAGCATTTAATTTTATTTTATTTGAGAAATGCAAAACTATTATATTATGTACAGTATAAATATGTAATACGATGTTTTTATTTGTAATATAGGTCATTATTTTATAAAACTGAAAACAAAGAATTTTTGTAATGTTTGGTTTAACTATGAATTTCTTAATCTATTATTACAAAAATATAATATAGTCTATTATTTGTAAACCTAGAAGTAGAACACTTTTGTAATGTTTGGATTAATTGTAATTCCCCGAATTATTGTTACTAGATCAGGAAGTAAATATTTATAAACCTTTTTGAAAATGATTACTATATGAATTTTATAAAAAGACAAACAAAATATTTTAGTATATAAGATGAAACGGAATGAATTAAAAAGGGAGAAAGAGAAGACCTCGGGAGTACCGAAGGTAATCTCTTTCCGTGTGGTACGTTTGTGACTTTAAGTTTTTATTTTGTGTATTATTTATTTATCCGTTTTTAAGTGTATCAATATTTTATATGTTTTTATTTTGATTGATTATATCTTTATTAACTACATTTTTGCGTTATTATTGAACTACTAAAAATATAAGTTAAAACAAAAAGATTGTTCCTTAAATAAATACAACATATTGAACTGTGCGTCATATTTTATACCTCTTATATTAAAAAACACAGAAGACAATTTTAAGAGGGGTGATAGATAAACATATAGCAATTTAATGATGAAATGAACTAAGTGAATTAATAAAAATTATTTATTAAAAACTATCTGTATATGAAAATATAATATAGTTTATATGAAATTCATAAATGATATTCATCATCGGTTTTTTTAATTCTTTCTAACAAATTGTTCTTAAGATTAAGATCCGTTGTTTGATCGTGTGATGTTTGAGTTGGTTGTGACAGAGCACAGTTATAATTTTGTGAAACATTACTTGATGATGGAAAATAACATTGCGGAGTAAAAAGACTTGCATAATGTTGCACTGGATGAAACAAACCATGTCTATGCGCAATTTTTAATTTAGATGCAAATTGCTTTTTCCATTTAGTTCTTCTGTTTTGAAACCACGTTTTTATTTGCACTTCTGTCAGATTTAATGCTTTTGACAGTTCCATACGTTTACTTACACTCAAATACTTATCTGTCTTTAAATTTAAATCGAAATTAATATCAAAATGTCTTTATATATTTTATGTGAAATTTATTAACTAGTATTTTTATAAGAATCTTACTAAACATTTTGAAAACAGAGCTGATAATGATAATGATAACAATCATTTTTTTTTTAACTATAAATTGCTATGGATTAAAACTAGTGGTGAATATTTTAAACTATCGAGGAGTATTTAATAGATTTTTAAACTATTAAATATTTAAAAAGCTATTAAAATTTAAAAAAACTAACAAATCATTTTTTTTTATTATTTGAATAATGATATTGAATAGTTTAAATAACTATTAAATATTTTTAAGAGAAATAACAACGGAATAGTTCGATAAATTCTATTCAATATTTCTTATCAGTAATAAAAACGTATTTATCAGAAATCAATTCAATTATTGATAATTATTATATAAATAAATAAGCTCATGTGATATAAAATTAAAATCGACATACTGACATGTTTAAAATATAAGTTAATAAATCAAAAATTTGATTTACAGGTTATGAAATATTGAAATTCAGATTTAACGGCTATGAAAAATTACCTAAATCACTTTATTTATGTTGGCCTAAATAATTTTTCGTAATTTTGTTTGTTTTACTTTAGTTAAACTGACACATAAAATAATTTTCAAGATGTTCTTCTGAAAATCTTCATGAAACACAAACATTTTAAAACTAGATATATGCTATAAAATACTCACTTTAAATTCGGCTTCTAGTCTTTCTAACTGTTTGGCGCTATACGCTTGTCTTGGTTTCCTATCTAATCCAGGTTTCCTGGATCTTCGGCCTACTGTTTTAGGGGCTGAAAATTTTGATTATAATTATAAAATCAGTCATTTAATAAACATCATTAGTCGTGATAAATAAATTTTTTAAAATATGAAAAAGTGTTTTTTTTTTGGACATATCTATTAAATGATTCGTGTTTTCTTTACGGATACTCCTATTCAAAAATAGTATCTTAATTTCATTTTACAGCGTATTTAATTTTAAATGTTATTAATTTACTTTATTTTTCAAATAAAGTAAAACTTGGTAGAGTTGGAAAGAGGAATTTTTATCAGACTAAGTCTAAGAACAAATTTTAAACAACGTATTTATTTTTAATTCTTTAAAAAAAAACAATATTTATAAAAAAAAAATTCTATTTTCTTAAAAAATATAAGGCTAATATTAGCTTTATTTTTTCTAAGCTTTAAATTTGATGATTCATTATAATCGAAATGCAAATGCTTGTAAAGTACTAGATAGTCTAGACAGTGTAAATGTATTGCTATTTTATTACTTTTAATATTTAAACTATTAGCTTGGTTTTCATATGAGTAGCGGGAGTTCATATAGACATATGTATAGCCTCCATAAAAAACTGTATTTTTTGACAGATAAGATGAAATAATTTGTTGGAGAAGATCCTCGTTGCGTCTTTTATTCAGAGTTATGAAATAGTGTATGGGATTAACATCCTCACAAAACAAATTTTCAATCTGTGTCAATAATTTAAACAATTTTCTATATTCTACGCAAAGATTATTAGGTATATACAATGACTTATGTAGGAACTGAATTATAAATTACAAAATTATATTTTTAATTTTATTGTATTTTACTGAATAATAATTTGATAAATGCTTACAGAAAAGTTTAAACGATATATTTTTTATAATCGATGTATATTAATGTGATATTAATAAAAAATAATAATACACTATATGAAAGTCATTCACATTATCTGAACTACTAAATATAACGCATTGTGCACAATTTGTGTTTTGACATAAAGGATGTACAGGTTAACAGGTCAATAAATAGCTATTTTTTTTTATTAGACGTCGTAAAAGGAAGTAGTAAATACACACAGCTGGGATATAATTTAAATAAGACTTCAGGTCAGGGTTATGTCGGGAAAATGTATAAGACACGTTTGTAATTCAAAAGAAGTGTCTTAATTTCGAACGTGTAGAAGAATTTGTATAACATTAGGAATAATATTGGCATTTTGTAAGGATAGTTTTCGTGAAAAAGATCATCAAGACAAGCGATGCATTTTTCTCTCTCATCGCTTAGTAAACAAAAAAAGAATTTTTAATGATAAAATTTCCTGAAAATGATTTCGTATCTTCTAAAAGCTTCTTTCGAAAATGTTTTATATCCGCGACACGGATATGGTAATGCCAGGGGATTTATTATTTTTATAATGATAACAAGATCCCAATCTAAAATTCTTCCAAAATAAACACATATGAGTTTAAACTATATTACACAGCAAGCCAAAAAAAATCTTTAATTGTTAATTCATCTAGTTTTTTCATAAATTCAACACATTTTAAAGCTATATGTTTTATCATAAGCATATAAGAATGTATAGAAGTACTTTAAGGCATGTAAGTGGGTATTTGTATACATAATTGTTCAAAAAGCGCAGAAAATGATATCAGAATAATACTATAATAAAATACAACCGTTATACTATAGAAATTTACTAAATTTAATTAACATTCATTAATTATAGAATTATTATTATTTTAGTGTTAAACTCTACATTGATGAACGGAAACATTTTTTACTTTCTTAGGCCAATTAACTCCATGAGTTATTAATGAACTAGTAACCTAAAGTCAATTAATTTATTATTTATTGTAATAAAGGATATATCACTTAAAATCGTTGAGGTGGTTATACATCATACATGGTTTTTACAATTATAAATTTGATGAACACTTTTTGTAAAAATTGTATTTTTAGTCAAGAAAAAAATGTAGTTTGTTTAATGTAAAAAAATTATTCAAGTAATACATAGAGGCGCGAAAAAAATAATTCATTTTAACATATTATATGACCGATGGTTTTTAATAGAATTATAATAAAAAACTATTTATCGTCTTTGCTAAATTTTATTATAAAATAATTTTTTTTTGTTTCTTTGAAAATTTTAACGAGAAGCCTTTAAATCTAAAGGAGTTGTCTTTTTATATACATTTTGAAGGAGTGGGTGAAAAAATACTAGTTTGATGTTTTTATTATAAAGATATTACTCTACGAGAGAAAGTATAAAGTAGGTCTTTCAAAATTTTAGAATAAAAAATTAAACCCCTTAATTTATTAATAAAATAATAAAAATATTCTTCTTTCAGCTTTATGAATCTGAATACACGTTCAATTTATGGTAACAAAACATATTAGAATATCTTGAATCATCATTTATGTTCATAAACATAACTATGATATATTTGAAATACATTTTACTTAATATAATACTTATTTAATGATCATATATTTTTAGTTATGTTTTAGATTACTTTGAATTTTACCTTGAAGACCAAATAAATGAGATGGTGGAGTCTTGTTAGCAGCTACAGCAGCAGCAGCCGCCGCAAACCATCCACCATATAATAAAGATGAGTATGGAAGACTTTGACCGTTAAGTTCTGTTAAACTATCAAATCCTAAAACAATATAACTTCTGTTTGTTTAAAATTTACCCTATTTTTAAATATGTACAGCTTAGCATTAATTTATAATTTTTATTTATTAATTGTATTTATTTATTTATTAATAGTGAAATAAAGGCGATTTGTTGTACAAATAAAATAATATGCATCTTGTACTTTTTGACTTACCCACACGCAAAGGTTCAACATGAAAAGGTCTGTCTGATTCTGAAGACGCAGGGCCTGTGACGGTACTACCATTTGCACTAAATCTTCCCAAAATACGATCAATTGAAAATTTGTGATATGATTTGGCACATGGTTCATCAGCACTACTATTGTTGGATGATTCTGAATGTCTTAAAGGTGATTTGATTAGGTTTCTATCGTAGACAGTATAAGACTGTTGTTCATAACTTATACGATGTACTTCATCAGAATCGGAAGATGTATCCATGATACTATATTCTGTAAAATACTAATTTTTTTATTAATTAATTAATTATTAAACATTAATTTAATAAGATTTTATAAAATAATTTTCATTTATCATTTTTTTAAAACATATAGTAAATGATATACTAAATTACTATATACTAAATTGTCTGTAGTCTTGGAGCATTATATATTTTTTATCTCGTAATAATATAGAGTATAACTATTTCAGATATTCGATTTATCTAATTTGGTAATATTCTGTACCATCGTTTGTTTTTTTAAATAGCTGTAATTATTGTGTATTATTTTTAAATTTTAAACGACATTGATAGAAGTACACCTTAATAATTTAAATGCATACAAGGCCTAGATGAAATCAAATATTCAACAAGTAACTTTTTCAGTTAAAATTTGTATGTAAAAAAGTTAAAAATTATATGTACATATGTATATAAACCAAATAAATAAATTTAAAATAGTTTTATTAAAATGAAGAATATTTAAAAACAAATTTAAACTACTAAAGAAATATCTTGGTCATCGAATAATAGTTAAATAAAGTTAATCATAAATAGTTTCGTACGTACATAAAATAAAACTTTAACGTATCAATGGAGCCAAAGAAGTGAGTGGAATAAAACGTGCGAATCTGTTGAGAGTGTAACGCGTTAAACTAAAATAGGATTTTAAAGTTTATCCCTCGTTTATCCCCTTTGGCCATTTCCCGCCTACCTTTTGTGTCCCTATCCCACCTATATACGCCATGTATCTTAGCTATCCTTTCGCATAGGTCCTTTTTACACCTTGTAAAAGTTCTCAACATCCTTTAGACACGATAATACGGTTTCCTGGGCAACGAAAATTTTAGACCGTTTTTGGCAAATGGCCGTTTCCATTAAGGTCCAATAATCAGTTATACCCGACTAAAAAGCTCTTCTTCTCTTTTGTTGTACCATTCACTACACCTAATGTAATCGTTCACCCTTTAGATCCCATTTACTTCTCTTGTATACACTGGCATACACGCTGACACAGCACAGAAGAACTTAAAGATGTTTAATATAAAACTGTACTATAATAATTATTTCCCTTATATAATATTATTTGAAAATTTAAGATTATTTTTTTTATATTCTCCATTTGTTAATTATTCCGATAAAATTTATTAAAATAATCTCTAAAGTACAGAAACTGAATAATGAAATTCTATATTTACTGACACAACAACAAATAATTCATATCAGTATTTTCAAAATATTTTCAGGAGGGTTGAAAATTTAACTAGTGAAATTAAACATAGGAAAAAAATTGATTACTCTCTCCAATATATAGTGATTCTTAAATTTTATAAGTTCATTAAGAAGATAAATTCATCTAAATTCTTTGACATTAATCCCCCCAAAAAATTTCAGTTTTAATTTTCTAGTATAGTACTAAATACACACAGTAGTATAATTATGTTGATCCAAAAATATGTATATATTTTAATAGTATAGCTCTTGGTCTTGAATAGGGGATTGACCCAAGACTTTCTCTAAAATACACATTTGGTTCATAAAATGACCTTCTTGTTTTTTTTCTTAAGCAATTGATAAGTTATAAAAATTATAAATTCAATAATAAAAACCCAGCACAGGGGGGTCGCGGCACAGTGGTGACGTGGCATAGTTGGATCAAGTAAATGATATCTGACAGTGATTAAAATCACTATCAAAAATAAACGCTTCGATGCAAATCTTTAGATAGTGTTTAATTTTAAAAAAATTGGTGTTTTATTCCAAAAGCTACTTGATCTGCTGGTTCCTTATTAATATC